CCCAGACGACTCCTAGCCCCTGTCATGAACTTGACTGACCGGTTGAAAGGGTGAAGGAGACGGCGACGCAATTGGACTTGACTGCTTCATAAAGGGCGAAGGGAGGAATCGAAGACGATCACTGAAGGATGGTACGGATGCTTGTAGGAACGAATGGGAGCAGATAAATTTAGATGAGAGAAAGGGCAGTTGTCTTTGATTGGCGTGTAGATCTGCACTCCCGTACTGCTTATTTTTTTTCTTTTCTTCTCCGCTGTCTCTGCCATGTTGTGGCAATGGTTTGAGACCAACGGTGTCAAAAATGCAGGCGGGTACAGCGGCAGGCCAGAGAGTAAAGGTATTCAGTTCTTCTCAAGTCGTAGTCGAACTTGTCTGTTTGGCTTGCTCCCTGACAGCCTGCTATATTGATGGGAAGCTGCAGCCTAAGTAGAGAAAAGGTTAGCCGTCGGTCCCCGGTTCGTATACGGAGTACACTACACAGAGTGAGGTGGATCGAGTCTGTGCTGGAGAAGAAGAATCACGGATCCGATATCTTACGTTGAGGTGAGGTAAAATAGGAGGTCCTTCCCTGGACGGACCAGTCCAGAGACCCCTCAGTCGCCAACCCAGGGTTGTCGATGGCTCCACGGAACTGCAAGGTCCCCTAGAGGATTCAGACGTTTGGCTGCTACTGTAGCTCTAAAACGTGCGTCAAGTCACCTCTATCCCGTACTCCGGAGCTGGGTCTCGACGTCTCTAAAACACTGGCCCGGGCTAGTGCTGGGCTGTGGCCCGTTTGGGTCCTCTTGTTGTTCTCCGTCGCTGACCCCAGCCACTCTGCATCTGACCTTAGCTAAGGCACGTTGGGAACTTTGGGTACTTGGCTTTACTAGTGTAGATAGTGGTAAGGAGAAGTGTCCGTCGCTTTATTCGGATACAGTACCGTGGATGTTGGTGGGGCGCTTTTGTATCGTATCCGCCATTGTCGCAGAGAAAGGAAACCGCGAACTGCAACACTAGGAAACCAAGAAGCTGACGAACCAAGAAGCCAAAGAGACGTCCAGTCTCAACTCGAGAAGGAGGCAGAAACGATGTAGCGTAGCGTCGGCTGGCCAGCAAGGAAAGCAGTAGAAACGACACAAGTGACCAAACCTGCCCTGAACGGACCGAGACCAAGGTGGGAAAGGCCTGGAAGACTTACGGACGAGTAACCGTCGCTCTCGCTACTGGAGCGCGGATTAGAACCTGGAGGGGATGCCGCCCCCGGTTGGCCCAGGTTCAGGTCTTAAACAGATACAGCCGCGCTGTGTGATCCGAAACCATTTCTGAGCCCTCATTTGTCGACTTGGGGTGTGCTGGAGACCCGCGTCTCGACACTAGACTGGACGGGACCGGACTGGACCGTGATTCTTGTGGGCTGTTCCTGCCACCTCCCAGGACGTCCTCCTTCCACGGGTAAGTGGAGGTAAGGTACCTCACTTCAGGCACCTGGGCACCATTACCTTAGGTACCTTTCCCCCTCCACTGGGTGCACCACTGCGCTCTAAGGTAGCTGGGGGTCTACCACTCCATCGCACCCGGGCACCTCAGGTCTGTTCTGCTTTGGATGTTTGTGTGGCAGAACGAACCTTTGTTTGATCTGACACCACTTGCTCTTCACCTCTCACGTCGATTACTGCACCTGCGTCTTGTTCTCCAAGCGCTCGAAACTGGTCCGTTATTCTACTGCTTTACTTTCTCTTCCACCCACCCATTCATCCCCTCCCCGTCATCCTCTTTTTAACCATCCTGACCCGCGACCCACGTTCCGCCCGTTTACCTATCGAGAGCAACCTCATTTACTTCTACGAGGCCCTCTCATTTACTCCTATCCAGCGACACGGAGCACGTTGCCTATTTCTTGCTCGTTTACCCCTCCCCCCTCGCCATTTCTCGGAGTCGCCTCCCTACCTTACCTTCCAACCCCACCTTGGCCGAAACGGGGACGCCATCGAGAACAATCACACCAATAAATTTCGAGTCGTCTACGCCCCTCTTCCTCCTTCTCCTTTCTTACACGCAGTCGTCGACCTCGGATATCGTCCATCGCTTCTTCCGCCAAAGCGATATTAAACTCAACCTTTGCCCGCCGAGCATCAACGAACCTTCGCAGCAGCTCGCCTTTTCTCCTCCTGTTTCCCGAGGCAACCCCGATTGCGCGATTCCTCTACAGTGACAGGCCAGTCTTTGGTATTTGATTACACGAGACCGGTGGTTTCTGTCATCTGTCTTCGGCACTAGCGATTCGACCCTGTCCAAGCCGTGTACGAACACTACCCAACACGCGAATCACAATTCCCGACGATCCGAGACGGCAAAGCACAGCTTTAGTAGCAGCGCAGGAGACCAAACACATTGGAGGGTGTGGCAATCTACTACAGCGTCAACAGGGCATGACATACACCTGTTCGTCGTTGTAACTGCTGGCGTATCCCAGCTTCACTTTCGGTTTTCCGCATTACGAGTCTGTAACCGAGAGACCTGTTAGCCCAAAATGGCTGACCCCTTCGCGCCTCGCTCTATGAAGCGCAAGAACGTCAAAGGCCTGGCCTTGACACCTGCTGCGCCCAAGCCTCCACCGACCGCCGAGACCAGCAGTCACCGCGATAAGGATGGCGGTGATCAGTCGGCACAGTTGGAGATTGGCATCGAGTACAAGCTGGATCTGCGACCAGAGGACCTAGAGATTCTGAAGGAGCTCGGTTCAGGAAACGGAGGCACCGTCAGCAAAGTCAAGCATGTTCTTACCGGAACTGTCATGGCACGAAAAGTTGGTCATCACTATTGTCCCGTTTAGAAGGCCAAGTACTCACCAACATCAGGTCATCCACGTGGAAGCCAAGAAAGAAATGCGCAAGCGCATTGTGCGTGAACTTCAGATTATGCACGGCTGCTCGTCCGAGTATATTGTCAACTTTTACGGAGCCTTTCTCAACGACCACAACGACGTCATTATGTGTATGGAGTACATGGACGTTGGGTAAGCGAGTGTCTAGTATACCTCAACTACCGTGGCTAACGTGTCTCGCAGTGCTTTGGATCGGGTATCCAAGGTCTTTGGACCTGTTCGAGTGGATGTCCTCGGAAAGATTGCCGTGGCTACCTTGGGAGGCTTGACCTACCTCTACTCGAAGCACCATATCATGCACAGAGACATCAAGCCGTCCAATATTTTGGTAAATTCTAGGGGAAGCATCAAGCTTTGCGATTTTGGCGTGTCTGGAGAGCTCATTAACTCTGTTGCTGATACGTTTGTGGGAACTTCAACGTACATGGCACCCGAGCGAATCCAGGGCGAGAAGTACACGGTCAAGTCAGATGTGTGGAGTTTCGGTCTGACCATCATGGAGATGGCCATTGGAAAGTTTCCTTTCAACGCAAGCGAGCAACTCTCGGACGGCGAGTGCGCACCCGCCGGTATTCTGGATCTTTTGCAGCAAATCGTCCACGAGCCCGCGCCTAGGCTACCCAAGAGCGATGCCTTCCCTTCGATTTTGGAAGACATGATTCAAAAGTGTCTGTCCAAGGTTCCCGACGAGCGGCCTACCCCTCAGGAGCTCTTTGTAAGTGTATCCCCCCAACATGAATCAACCGTGCCGCTTACATATTTCCCCATCAGGACCGTGATCCGTTCGTCCAAGCTGCAAAGAGAACACCAGTAGACCTAAGAGAATGGGCGGTTGGTATGATGGAGAGGGACAATCGCAAGTCTCACTTGGCGCCCCAGCTTTCTCCAGCAACACGCGATCTGCTCAACTCCAATGATTCCCCAACATATCACGGCGGTTCTGGAAACGACCGATCCCTAGACACGCCTACTTCAGGAGAAATTCCTATCGCCGGCGCTGGCATTATCTCTCCGAGAGAACCCGCCAGTCACTCCAACCGCTCTCCCACTAGGAATGGACTCAACACAATGAGCAGTAGACAGCCGGGTGGCCATCCTGGGATGGGACAGAGGATTGTTACCACCAACTCGATACCCAAGGTTGGCGAGTATCCAAACAGTGCTGGTCCGGTGAGCGCCAATGCTGCGTCGTTTAGCCTGCCTGTTCGCCCGGCCCCTGGCGGGCCTCTACCCCCGGCCCCTCCTCGGAAGGGCACACCTGATGATCCGAGAAGAGAGAACCGGAGACAAGCTACCTTTGGCATGCCTCCGGCGCCCAGAAGTTACGCAAGTGATGTGTACAACGGCACCTCCAACTAGTCGCAGGAGGGCTTCGACTATTCGCATAGCGTTGGGCCGCAACCCCGCCAAGCTCATCCGCTGCATAATAGAGCATCAACTCGCGCCATTTCGCTACAACAGCCACATCCATCTTTCAGCCAGGGACCAAGAACTTGCAATATCTCTACGCAGATGGCTTTCCGACCAGCATCTGACGAACGGGTTCAACGGGCCATCGCATCAGCTCCGATCTACTCGTCTCAGAAGATGGACATGCCCGATAACAGAAACCGCAGGACGCGTCGCGATGACAACGTCGCTGGCTTAGAAGACCCCTTCATCTAGACGCGTAGCAAAGCTGGGGCAAAACCTCGTATATCAAGTCCCAGCGGCGAGATGTGTCGACTCGGTCGTAAGGAATCTTGTTACCCTCTTTTCATCAGCATCACTCGGCGCAGGTATGGATGTCGTTCTTCTGCAGACTTCGGGAATCTCAGGGCGTCACGCACCCTAGGAAGGCCTGTTAGTTGAGTCTTTCTAGAAAGCCTGCACAGAGCATTCGTCATCGATCGCAATCAAGACAGGAGGGATATTTCGACACAAAAGGCCTTTCACATAGGGTACCATGTATCTAGCAAACTTGGAGGATGGGTTCAACAGTGGCTGATGTGCCAATGAGACAGAGAGACGAATGATTGAGCAATCGTCCTGCCTGTCTAGACCATGGTGTCTTATACTCTCTTGAACTTTTTCTAAATAGACATGAAAGTGACAGTAGACAAGCTGCCGCCTAGTCTCTACTCCTGCGTCTCTTTTATGTTGATGATACTGGTTCCCTGCTGCTAAAACCCTCCTCGAGGATAGGAATCAGCTCGTCTAATCGACGGATCACCAAGTCAGTGTGCTCGTGGTCGACCAGATGCGCATTGACATCGTTGGCAAGAAGCACTGTCGCCGCGCCAGCTCTTCGCCCAGCCGTCATGTCATCAATCGAGTCTCCAACCATGATCAACTCACTGCCGTCGCCGACGGTCGTGTCCTTGGCGTCAGCCAAGTTGTTTCCTTCTTTGACAAGACCCCAGTTTCGTGCAATATGCAGGATCCCGGCGGGATCTGGCTTTGGCGGACGAAAGTCGCGGGTGACAATGGGCTCAAACAGTGACCCCTCGAGGAACTTTCCGAGAAGGTGTGCGACGGGAGCGTCGAAGTTGCGGGTGCAGATGCCCTTGCGGACGCCGCGGCTGTCGAGATAGGACATGAGCTCCACGAGGCCCGGCTGGGCAACCTGAGAGGCCATGGCCGTACGCTCGATGTGGCGTATGGACTCCATTGCTGTCTCCTGCTCCTCCTTCGTGGGGAGAGAGTAGACGTGGTCGAGAATGTCTACTTTCTTCGTGATGCCGAGGGCTTGACGCATCTCGCCAAACATGTACGTTTGAGGTTCACTTGGTGATAGTCAGCAAAGTTCCTGAGGAAGTAGATGCGGCTTGTAAGAGTATCTAATGAATTTGTAGGATTTCAAATGTAAAGCATCTTTTTGGCCTACTCATGGACTCTTATCGGGACAACCACCCGCTGAGGCTGAAGCAGTTCTGCTCTAGCGGAAACGCCAAAGTCGAGTTTGAATAAAATACCAAATGAGGAAAATTCGAAGACCACAAGTAATAAGACGTCTGAGAACATACCATAATGTTCCATCAACATCGAACACAATGCCTTGGAGTCGAGGTGCAGTTGAGTTTGCTGCAGCGCCTGGCTTCAATGGGGCGAATTGCCGGGGAGCGTGTGTAACCATTCTGGAGATGAATTTCTTCATGGGAGAAGATCTGGTGTTGCCGAAACCTGATACCAACTGCAAGACGACGGTTAGGATTTCCCGACTTTGAGATTGAGTTTACTGTGGTTGCGATACCTTCTATCGAGGAGTTGTAGCGATGAGTCGTTTTGCCCTCAACTAAGACGGAAGAGTACGTACACACACCCGCACCAGATCGATGACAGCGAGTCGGGAATGCGTCTTGCGGGCTTAACTAGTGTGAGATAGGTAGGCGGCGATTGCGCAAAACCCCACACTGGGCTGGATGGGGAATCAGGGAGTGGGAACACAGTGCCGGCTGACTGACTGAAATGTTGCACAATTCCGGATCCCAGCCGGGCAGATGACATGGGTCTAGGGATGTGAATGGTCGGCGCGAATCTTCTGCGAGGCAAGAGAGGTCTGGTGTACTGCTGGTGGGAGAAGCTTTCCATGTGGCGACGCCCAACCTGCAGCAATTTAGACCAGTGCCAGTGTGTCGCGGATGCTCGGTCGTTGGGAATTTTGTTTAGACGCCTTTGCAGTTGGCAGTAGGTCTGTCTGTGTCTGACAGCTATTATCTATCGTTTTTTCTTACGTACAACAAAACATACAGAGGGCACCACAAGTTCATCCCTATTGCTCCAACCTAGAAAACGAACCTTTGTTAGACAAGCTTCTGCGAGCTCCATTGTTGAGCGCAACTAGACCGACTGCTCCAACACGGCTGACATTTGGGTGATGCGCAACACCCAACCGTGATGAGCTCGTCGAATAACAACCAATGGCCACCTAGGCGGCCCTCGAAACGGAGCGTGAGTTGAATCGGCCCATCGTCCCTCTTGGTTGAAGCTTGCAGGCTGGTGTTGCGCAACTCATAGCTGACCGCGCGGTGTGATTCTAGAAGCTCCGAAATGGCACCTTCATCGTCCCAGGCACCGGCGAACGCAGCCGCCGCCAGTTCTCTCTCCGCGGATCGAGCATCGAGATACCCCCACCCGAAGTAAACGGATACCGATCCCTCTTGGCCGCTGAGTCGACGGGCGAGTCTCTCAATGTGGTCAAGCATAATATCAAGACCAGTGCCCTGCACCTCTGGGACTGGCTCATGTCTCCGGCGGGTAAGGGCGTGCTGAAGTGTACCTTGGCATATCTGTTGGCTAGTATGGCGACGTTCCTCTCGCCCATCTCGGCTTTCTTGGGCAAGCCTGACGGGAAGCACGTCGTCGCGACTTTGACGGTCTATTTCCACGCCAGTCGCACGTGGGGTTCCATGGTCGAGGCCGTAGCCATTGCTACCATCGCCGTCCTGTATGCCGAGATCATATCCTGCCTCGCCATGGCCTTTTCTGTTGTGGTAGGAGGGCAGCTTGGGCTCATTCCCCTGTCTCACGTTCTCATCTTGACGTTCTGCATCGGCGGCGGCATGGGTTTTATCGGGTGGGTGAAGCAAAGGCTGAACAATCCCTTGGTCAACGTGGGATGTACCCTTTCTTCGATTGCCATCATTGCCGTGGTCACTAGAGAGGAAGCAATCCACGAAGGGCATTTTTCCGAAGCCAAGATTGTGCAAGTACTTAAGATGTTGGCTATCGGCATTACAATCACGGCAACGGTCAACTTCTTTGTCTGGAGGGTGTCGGCACGGGCCCTTTTGCGTTCCTCGATGAACTCGGCTGCCGTATCACTTGCAGACATGCTCTCTATGATCACTCGTGGCTTTCTGAACGGGTCTGAGAACGAGATTATGTCGGGAGACTTTGGTCAGGTTGCGAGACTGTACAAAACGACGTATGGGAAGATGACGAAGAATCTTAGGGAGTCGAAGTTGGAACACTGGGTTCTTGGACGGGAGAAAATCTACAACCTGGAAAAGAATCTCGTCAAGTCGTTGGAATCACTCTCGCAAGCCATAGGAGGTTTGAGAAGTGCGGCGAACACGCAGTTTGCCTTGCTCAAGGAGATGCCACAAGATCCCATGGGCGGACAGCTGTCTCCCGGAAGCACGGTGTTCTCACCAACGCTGTCTCGCGCCATGTCCCAATACCTCAAGGGTGCTCGGGATCGGTTCGCAACACTAGCATCGATCGAGGAAGATGACGAGTACGACGATGATCTGGATAGCCACCCAAGCCCCGAGGCAACCCCAGACGGTCCTCCAGCACCACTTCCTACTTTCCGCTCACCGTCAGAGATCTTTGAGCTTTTCATAGCGCTGCTGGGCCCCTCGATGAAGTCTCTGGCGTACACTCTTTCGGAGATCCTCAGAGAGCAAGCTTTTGCAAAAGGGGCAGACTCCAAGATCACAGTTAATCCTCACTTTAAGCATAGCTTACAGGACGCGATGGCGCTGTACAGCAACGCGAGAACTCATGCCCTGCAAGAGCTCTACACTAGTATCGAGCTGGGTCGAGCGAGGTCAGAGAAGATTCAAGCAGACATTGAGGAAGTTGCGGCCGCCTGCGGACATTTCAGTTTCAGTCTGCAGCATGTGGCAGAGGATATTGATGCATACCTGACAGCCTTGGAAGATCTCAAGTATAATCGTGAGATGGGCTCCCGCAGCTGGAACTGGTTGAAGGTTTGGAAGTACTTCTCCTCGCCCGCTCAGCCCAAGGAATCCGACCCTAGCAACCTGGATACTGAGCGTCTGTTACATCAACCTATGGAGCCTCCTGAGCAGCCTGTTCGTGCCATCAGGAAATCGGCTCTTCCCAGGGGCATTCCCGATACGATGATAAAGCGCAGAGATACTTTTAGCTGGGATGCTGCTCCCAACGCGAGTATGATTATGAGATTTTTCTCGCAGCAGCTTCTCAAGGGGTTGAGAGTTTTGGCTCGCGATGACAGTAAGTGATTAGTACACAGATAGCGCTTAGGCTCAGCTAATGATTTTGGCAGTCCGATTTGGTGTCAAAGTAGGCTTTGGAGCGATGCTCTGGGCAGCATGTGCTTTCATTCCGGCAACGAGACCGACGTATCAGCACTGGCGAGGCGAGTGGGGCTTGCTATCTTTCATGATTGTCGCGTCTATGACTGTGGGAGCAGCCAACACTACGGGCACCGCAAGGTTCATTGGCACCATTGCCGGAGCTACCTTTTCTTTGACGGCGTGGGCCATCAGTCAAGGAAACGGGGTCGTTCTCGCGTTCCTGGGTTGGATGGTCAGCTTCTTCAGTTTCTACATGATGCTCGTCAAGAACAATGCCCCCTTCGGTAGGATTACGCTTCTAGCCTGGAACGTCACTGTTCTCTACGCCTATTCGTTGTCACAAAAGGTGGATGATGACGATGACGATGAGGGTGGTTCCAACCCTTTGATGTTTGAAATTGTCTACCACAGATTCGTTGCGGTGTCTCTGGGTATCCTATGGGGTATCTTTGTTTGCCGGGCAATCTGGCCCATCTCGGGCAGGAAGAAGTTCAAGGAAGGTTTATCAGTACTATATCTCCAGCTTGGTCTCATCTGGAAGAGAGGACCGCTGGCTATTCTGCTCCGAAGCGACAACACGAGGTCGTACATGAAAGCCGGAGAAGAGCAAGCACTGCAACGCTATGGTAAGAGACCTATACTCCCTTGACTCCAGAATAAAGGATATCGCTGACATAGATAACAGCCTTCAAGCTCGAAGCCTTGCGTAATTCCGCAAAGAGCGAGTTCGAACTCCGTGGCCCCTTCCCTGATGCCGCCTATGGCCGCATCATGCAGTCTACCAGCAAGATTCTCGACGGGTTTCACGCCATGCGGCTCGTGACCTCCAGAAGGGGGCAGCTGTCCGCCGGCGAACGAGCTCTGCTCGAGTACACGGCACCAGAGCGCGCACAGCTTTGCGACCGCATCTGCCACGTGTTCCAGGTGCTCGCAAGCTCCATGATGTTAGAATACCCGCTCACCGATGCGATCCCGTCAGTGGTGGGCAACAAGGACCGGCTGCTGGGCAAGATTTACCAGTTCCGCAAGGAGCACCAGCCTCCTTCCCCCATAGTTGGGAATGACTTTGAGGAGCAGCGGCAGGAGGAGAACGGCAATGGGAATGGCAATGTCGGCAGCAATAACAACAGCAATAGCAGCAACAACAACAACCAGATTACCAAGAATGGCGTGGTGTTGGAAGAGAAGGACTTTGCTCTGTTGTACGCGTACACCTTGGTCACGGCCCAGGTCGCGCAGGAGCTCGAATACGTGCAGAGAGAGATTGAGAACCTCTTTGGCGTGCTCAACACGGAAGCGCTTTTGCTGCAGTGAAACTCTCTCATAAATATAGAAAAAGAAAAGGACGTTACTGGTAGAGAAGTGGCGGTGGCAGGAAAGCAGTAGAGATTGAGACAGTGAATATGAACCAAACAAAAAGGGGTGACTGGACGGACTCACTGACTGATTGACTTGACGAAAAAGGCATGGCGTTTGGTTCCAACTAAATATATATACACTACTAGGGATACCTTTCAAAGGGCTTCTGGGCTCGAGAGCGACGAGAGCATGGGTTACAAGGCATACATATATACAAGTAGTCGTAGTAGTAGTCATTGAACATTGTTAAACCCACTCTCAGCTCTCTAGATTGAGGCTTTCTACCATGCTTCTTCATCCCGGCTAGGAGATTCTGATGTGATATGATATAGTTGTAGTATTGGAGTTATTGCTATTCTAGCTGTACAATAACAAGAAAAGTGTAGATTGCGAGCTATCCCAGCTCGCTAGGCATGGCGACAACCACGTCCTTGATGGCACAATACACGACGCTTTTCCCATCTTTTCTACCTGACAACCCAATCTGATGAGCCACCTTCCGTCGCCGACCTTCACTACATATCAAGCCCTCATAGGTCATCAGACGACAGGGGGACAAAAGAAGCATGCAACCTAGCGCCATCTGAACGCCATGCCATAGACAAAGCTGCCTTGTAAACGCCGAATAATAGACACACCACACACATACGCTGTTTGTATAAAAACAGCCTTGAACTCCCAAACTCGCTGCGTCATCTTCGTCAAAATAAAACAAATAGCAACGTATATGGAAACATGGTAGCATCAGATAACGCCTAGTTTCAGCCATGCAGCATCCGATCGGCGTCTTCGTGGATACGAAAGCCTACGCCGTCATCGGCGCCAGGCACTTGCCAGCCACGCTGCGTGCTGGGATACTCGGACGGCTGGCTGCTCACCTCCGAGTGAACGTCGTCCTCGGCCGTCGGCGAGAAGAGCGGGTCAATATTCTCGCCGTCGGACATGTGCTCTTGGTCCTCGATGCCGGGCCAAGGCTCATCCTCAGGCAGATGAACCTGCCGCGAGAACGATGAGTCACCTTCCCGATCCGGTGGCACGTGAGCTACCATCTCGATGCTGTAGTCGCTGTCGTCGTCATCATCGTAAGGGTTGGTGCTTCCGTAATCCGGATCAAGATTTTCGTCATCGTCGGCGGGAGTATCATCCACCACGACGCCCGTACCCCGCGGACGGGTCTCGCCCAGCGGTGCGTTACTGTACGGGGTCGCATAGTAATGGGGCGTGATGCCACGGGTTGACGGGTGACGCTCATCGGAGGGAATGACACCGGGCATCGGGCTTGGCGACACTGTCCATCGAGGGGTGTTGAGAGGGCGGCTCGGCGAACGAGTCGTGCGGCGCCGCTTGTAAGCAGTCGAAATGTTGGGAGGGTTGGGTCGGACTGGAACAGCTGCCCTCTGGCCAAATGATGATACACGGCGCTTGATCTGCGACGGCGACATGTTGGCCGAGACTGAGGGAGGCAGCGAGGCGGTGCGAATGTACGGTGGCTTTGTGATCCTTCCGTCCCTCACAGGGGTTTGGCCACGGGCTGCCATGGGACTGGATGATCGCATCGAAGACTGAATCGCAATATGATGTAGCGAAGGAGATGCCGAAACTCGCTGACCAGCTTGACGCATACTCATAGAAGATGGCGCGCTCGCGGTTTCGTCAAGGTGATCATTCCATGTCCAGTGATCCTCTTTCGCGTCGGCTTCGGGGACCTCCTGAGTAGCCTGAGAATCGGGGTAGAAACGGCTCATTTCGCGAAGGCGTTGCCAACTCCAACCACTCTCATATGACGGCAGATCTTGGAGATAGGCCTCGGGCTGCGTGATGAACAGCCGCGGCTCAGAGGATCGCATGATTACAGAGTTGAGAAACGACACGTCCCAAAGGGCAGGCGTAACCATCTCTGCTGGCGTCAAGAACCGGAGGCGGGAGTCTTTGTGGATCTTGCGGAGCGGTACCCATGGTTGCTGCAGGCCTAAAAAGCGACTTGTCTTATTGTCGAGGCTGCGCCGACGTGAGGCTAAACGAGTACTGCCAGAAAGTTCGGTGAAGGTGATGCCGAACGCAGTATGAATCGCTGCCTGGACGCTTCGTGCGTCTGACCCTCTGACAGAAATGGTGCGCACTAGGCCGCGGCTTTTGAGTCGGCTATTGATGATACTGGTAGGACTACAGGCCTTTGCCATCAACCACGCGTAGTCATTTCCAGGATCTGCCCATTCTGCGCAGAAAGGTGACTGTGCTCTAAGTGTGTGAGAGCTCATGGTGTTGGGCATCTGAGTCCATTCATCCAAGCTCGAAGGACCATCGGATTTGAAATCCTGCAGCTCCACCCAGACCCTCCTCAGTGGAAAAGGCAGATACACGACTTCAATTTCCCATGGCCGAGTGAGCGTGGGAAGCTGTGACTGAAGCTGGAGGATCTGAGACTGCAGCGTCTGAATCTGGCTAAAGATTTCGCCGGAATGGCCGGCTCGCGCAGTAGTCGTACTCGTAGCGACAGAAACAACGCTGTTGGTAGATTCGTCAAACGTCTGTCGATCGGCGAGGCGACCTACAACACTGCCGTTATCATGAATGAGCTTTTCAACTTCCTCGAAGCGAACTTCAAGGTCAGTCACTCGGAGATCCGTGGCATCATGCTTCTCATGACACTCATCGTGCCCGGCAGCGGAAAATGAAACATTTTCGAGTCTCTCGAGACGGTGCTCGTGGCCTTGAACTGTATCCGATAAATGGCGAAACGTATCGCGGGAAGGTCCAGCAAAGACAGCATCGTCCTTTCGAACGCAGGGAGACAGAGCCCTCGGAGTGTCTGCACCATGATCACTGTGGATAACCATAGCGCTGGCGTCGTCGTCCTTGGTAAGTTGATCCTGTGGGGCAGAAGTGATGACATCCTGGAGTCTGTCCTTCCGTAGAGATTGCACATTAGAAGTAGCAACACCACTAAGTGTTTGGAGACCTTTCCCAGAGAACGGACGAAGATAACGAGCCTGGCTGGAAGATGTTGTCGAGCTGGGCTGAGACTGCATTAGGCATTGGACTGGTATTGGTGGTAACGAAGTAGAACCATTTCCGGGCTGGGACTGGATAAAATCGCCCCAGCTTAACGTATCTTGTAAAGTAGACTCCGGGCGCTGGCTAACATGGTCCATATTACGGGGCGGCCTGGGTTCCTCGGGCTTGCTCGGAGATATAGCCATGGCAGTATCCAGGTTCATGAAGTCCATTGTCGGGGGATATCCGGCGGGCATACGAAACGACATATCTGGCAATTGTACCGGGCTAAGTGGTTCCCTGGACATCCTTGGTCTCTCATTCTCCTGGCGAGGAACGTGGGTGATGGGGGTGGGGGTGGGCGCAGACACGGGCGCGGGTGCTGGAGCCTCGCTCGCGGCGCGTCCATCATCGTGGAAGCAGGCGTGATGCGAACACATGCACCAGACGGAGTTATCAGATCCCAGGCTATCCGTATACGCCTTCCCGGCGGCGAAGCGACTCCAGAATCGACGGCATCCGCACTTCGCTCCGTTGGCGCCAGGTGTTAAATCCACGTAGTTACATGCTCCTCCAGGAAGTTGGACAGTGTTGCGCTGGGCAGCGCCATCGTTGTAGATATCGAAGAATGAGGAGCCCGGCAGAGGGGGGTCAAAGGGTGTTGTTGCCATTGGCGGCAGCAATGCTCATCGGGGAGGCCGGAGAGATGTTCGGACGGCGATGGGATGGCGCGGGAGCTTGGGTCCCGGTGAGCTGGGATGAGAGGTCGACGATGTTGGTATTGTAGGTCGGTATCGGTGTGATGGAGGAAGTTGATTGAAACGAGACGAAGGAAATGCCTGCGCGGCCCAAACCAGGGCCCAGCTGGGTCGCAATCCGAGAGACCTAGAACATTGCAGCTGCTGTGGTAGTTAGCCCTCTATCCTCTGTCCAATAATGGGAGCTATGTCCTGGATTGAAGCTGGCACTCGCAAGCCGACTGGGGAAACCCTCAGGCCGCAACACGCACCCGTGACGGAATATATGTATAACAAGTCGGGAAGGAAAAGTCGGATTCGCGAGAAGCTTCGTCTTATTTATATCTGCATGCGCCGGTTTGGTGAAGAATTGCGCGGATCAAGTGATGCAGCAGGCGGACGAGACTGGCGAACGATTGAGTGGTGGGGGAGATGTTGTTGATAGAAAGTGAGGCGGTTACTGGATTGGGCAGCACAAGCACGACCGAGGAACCTGGGCGCTGGTTGATGGGCGGATGGGCTAATCGAGGCGTAGGAGGTGGGAACCTGAGATAGCGCTGGAAGGGAAATGCGCGACAAGTAACCGGGAACGAGGGAGACGGGTAATTAGGAACGAGGCATGCGAAAAGGTGGAGAAGAGAAACAAGTTCAATGCAGCACGGCAAGCTTCGCTCAGGTTTACTGGACGGTACCGTTTTCTCGAGGTCACAGTGTATTAGCGAAGCGAGTGGGCTTATGCAAGTTGGCAGGAATGACTCGAAAAAGGTTGCAAGGGTCTCTGATATCTCGACTGCTGTCCTAAGGCTGCCGTTTGATCTCTATTGGAATCAGGTAAACGCTTTGTGTGTTCGTATAAGCTGCGGTGTGAATTGCGTTGAGATGGCGGCAATTCAAGCTGTGATGCGGCATAAGACTAACGGACTAAGTATTGTAGGTATGTGTGTGTGTGTGTTGGTGTGCCTGATGTTGTAGGATTTCGCTTGCATATGGATATCCCACGCTGCGCGCCATGTCGTACACTACACAATAACTCAGTGGACGCCTCTCAACTCTCTCGATAAAGTAAGTGATGTGATGGGCTTTGGTGCAAGTCTGGAGCTACCTTAGCGAGCCTGGAAAGCTACCGTGCTGCTTGGGCGCTTCTGCCGCGCAGTTTCTTAACCGGCCAGGCCTGTTGCAGGCTTCCATGGCACCATGAGAACTTGCCTGGGAGGCAATGGATGCCCACAGCAGGCGCGAGAGCAGGCCAGCAGACTAAGAAGCAGGGGGAAGAGACAGCAGAAAAAAGAAAGGTGCAAGGATTAGGAGTGATTGGATGTCGAAGGCCAGAAACGCGTCTTCGTCTTGCTTGCCTGTCATGGGTTTAAGTGTTCGGCGTGTGGCCCCGCCCGCGTATCCTTGCAAGCTCCACGTCCTCGGAGCCCCGATTGGCATCCAGCGGAAACATCCCATTGGTTTAACGCCAACTTCGAGTGACTCGGCCCCCCCTCTCCTGTCCCTCCCATACCGCAGTACGGAGTAGGTACTTTCCCACGCCAGCCTCTTTCCCACCGCAACTCTGCATGACCGGGGATCTTTGTATCTTTGAGAGTCGCGACTCCAATCTTCACAGCGTTTCTGATACCATCGACCAGGAGTCGTTTCTCTTCTCGTGACCTTGAGATCAGCCCCTAGTCCTGCTTCTTAGTTCCAAACAGCGTGGGGACCACGACGAGCACTTAGAGCAAGGGGTATGCCATTGTGGAGGGGTAGGTCAAAGAAGCAACGATTACGATGGCCGTTCCATTCCAGAGATGGAAGGACAGAATCCGAGCCATTATCGTTCATTTGACGCACGCGACTGGATCGACCATACACTAAAACTTCCTTTTTTTCCAAACATTTCAGCAGAGATCAAAGTCTGGGGAACGGCGGCAAAAAAACAGCAAAGAAGGAGGTGCAGCACGCGTTCTCCGTGCAATTGATTGCGACACTTGATAAAACCTGACAGATATAGAGGAACGTAATGGACATGAGCAACACAGATGGATGGGACAGACAGTACGGAGTATTGCGTACCCTGGATTTCCAAGACCCCGGTGTTACTCGTTTGATGCCCCAGAAAGACCAAGTACACAAGCACACGCTAGGCTGACGCTCAATGATGCTATCCATTCGCAAACCCGTGAGGCGTCAGTCTGGGGTCCCGCACGGCGATCCCGCCCTGTACGCGAGGCGCCCCGATCAAATGACTGGCTTTCAGGCAAAGCAGCCTGTGAGGAATCGCCCGCCAGCCTTGTCCAAAAGATCCAGGTCGTCAGGTTGTGCAAATCTCAGAGTCAAGCCTCGCCGTGCGTCGTTGGCTGCAACTGAGTATGAGTCCTTTCTCCATATTACATGGTAAGGTGTACGGAGTACCGCAGCAGAGGAAACTGTGAACATGGCGTTGGGAAATGCGAGTCACAGCATGGCGTCCAGCTGCATCGCTGACTGGTTAAAGGTGGAGACTGTGACGAGCCTCGAGGGATATAATCCATTGTCGATCGTTCGTTTCGAAGAGTCGAGACAAGTTTTGTGAATTGCGAATGGTTTGTCCCAAGCTCACTTTCATCTTCCGTCTGCCTCAGACAGTAGACTACCTAGGCTGGCACGGCTGGTAGGTTACTCGTTGGCTTAGTTGCCAAGTTTGATTGTGTCACTCGACCCGTCCCGCTCGGGGCCAAGGATCCACATATGCCGCCGCCTAGCCGGTCCACCGGCCAGAGTTCCGGACGACTGGTTCGTTCCTTTCCCGGTACGTCTTTCTCACCGTTTCAGGCAAGCGTCAATTCTGGGGCCATATCTCAGTGTACGCATCATTCACTGATAATATCATCAGATAACAAAGTCCATTAATCTCCAGTGGTATCACGCAAGTAACCAATTTGAGATGAATAGCCAAGACGTTTCAATTACGCAAACTCAATAGTGTTTATATGATCTGTAGATGCTTAGTAGCTCTAAGTCCCTTACTCGTCATGATATGATATGCTAATGCTGTGCCCAATATCCGTCAAACAAGCGACAGTTCTCAATAACTCCCGCTGACCCGAATAGTAATACATCTATTGTAAACAGACGCCCGTTTATGGCCGGTGGCAGCCGGCCGCAGAGAGTAGAAATGAGATGAATGACTCTTCCCAGCTATTGTTGATGCCCTTATTTACTCAGACTTCGCCCCAGCTGCCCATCGGGCCCACCGAAGCGATGACTGATCCCGTTCCGATAGAACCTCCAATATCCCAATAGTGCCTTGATGAAACGCTGCTCCGTCTCGCCGATCGTCGTGTACTTTGGCTCGCACAGCTGGAGGCGTGTCTCATGGCGGCGGGGCTAGATGGTGTCGTCGCCTTGAAGGTCCTCCGCTCTACCTGTCGGGCCCGGGAGACGAGCGGGTGATGCTGGCGCACCCGCGCGGCCTTAGCTGCTGTGTCTGGCGTGCTTGAAGTGGCAAGGTGGGAAGTACCGGTTGTTAAAGTAGATGAAGGCGTCGACCGCGAGCTGAAGCGGGATCGCAAGTACCTGAAGACGAGGTTGACGTCCAAGTCTTGTTCCCATTCCTCTTGGGTAAAAGTAGCAGGCAATGGGGTTGACTCATCCCTAGTCAAAAGCACGGTAGGATCCAACTGGGGCCGGGTAGCGGGGATATTGATGGGGCGCGCGTGTTGAACCATTGTTGGCTGGAATTCGGGCATCTTGGTCGATGCTTCTCGTGCCACGGGAGCCATTGCCGCATCAGCGCTCGACTCTGGTATAGCTGGCAGGCCTGCGTAAGGAATGGGCATTTGCTGCATGCGAGTGTAAGTCGAGAAGGCACCAGGGTGGCTATGCGGCGAAAGCTGATTGACCATCAGTCCAAGCTCTTTTGCGACACGATCCAACGCCCGCAGTTGCCAAGATGAGTCATTGGATTGTTGTGTGGGTGTGTTGGATAAATCCGCGCCCGTCTTGGGAGTAGTTGACAAGTCATCGTCTGACGGCAGTTGCTCTCCAAGCAAGATTGAGAGTAACCTCTCGTCGATGCCCAGGTCGTTGAGAACCTTGTGGGTGATCCTGGCGAGCAGGCCCCGCTCATTGTCCTGGGTGTCAGTCGACTCGTAGTGCCAGTCCATGCTGTCAGCATCGTCTTCATTTCCGATAGCACTTAAGCTTGCAACATCCTCTGCCTTCTTTTCTTCTGTCGTCACCGTTGGCCTGACTGAGACCATGGACTGCCGTCGCCGTCTGGTCTCCCTACTAATTTCTTCTAACAAGATGCGACTCTGCTCCAGTCGCCAAGCTTCGATTCTCTGCATCTTGTGTGTCTCCTGTTCCTCCTCTATTTCCATCTCAAGCTGGGCTAGCTCAAGGCTCTCGCGACGCCTTCGCACATGTCTGGGGTTGAATCTCTCAAACGCATAGAGCTGCTCCTGGACCTCAGGGTTGTCTAGCCTGAACGAGCCAAGGCCGTCATGTGTAGGGAGTACGGGGACACTTTGCGCCCCAGCAGCACCGGCAGAATG